CAATTTATATTTGTAATGGTTCATTTTGATTTAATAAATAAATGACACCAACCTGATTGAGGGAAAAAAAAAAAAATAAAGTTTCAACTTTGTTAACGTTAAAAATAATAATTATTCAAGTTTATTGTCTTTTAAAATTATTAATAATTTTATTAGGATTTTTATATTAATCTCTGATGACAAGAAAGAGTTTTCCAGGAAAGAAGACAATTTATTTGATTTTTTTTTTTTTTTTTATCATTAGGATATTAATATCTTTATTAGAAAAAATAATCTAGAAGGTTATTAAATATCTTGGTCTTCAGAAATTTCTATAACATGAGTACAGCTACCTTTTTAATATGTTTTCAAACTTCTTTGGATTTTTTGAGAAATTTTATTTATCTCAATTTAATCTTAAATTTTTGATTATATTAGATCTGCTAAATTTTCATTAATTAAAAATTCAAATTGAACAACAATAAACAAGTAACATATAAACAAAACAAGAACATGTTTCTATTTATATTACATAACTCCAATGATATATCTTTTTTACTTTTTTTTTTATTTTCTCTCATATATATAAATACAAATAAGATAGACAAAATATTTTTTTGAGGGGAATTTTTTTTGTTCTAATTTATGATTTGTAAAAGACTATAAACTGTAATCTATTCAATAAGATCTTTAATATGACTTTCTCTTTCACAAAAGTAATGACTTGTTAGTAATATTTATTATTCTTATCTGTAGTAAAGATACTTAATTAAAAACATTTGTCAGAATGAAAAACTCTTCTTAAACTGAGCTAAACTTTGGAAAAGTTGCACCCTCTTAAATAAGTAATCTATGCTTAAAGGCAAGAACTTATCTAAAAATAGATTGTCAATCTCACTATAGGTTTTAAAATATTAAAACAATTTTTAATCATAAGATTTCATCTATTTTTCAAATTATAATTCTTTAAACAACTGTTCAGATAAAATAATATTTCAAACTATTAACAAAGATAACAGTAGTATGTATAGTTTCAAAAATTGAAATTAAACAGACTTATATAAACTTGCGTAAAGTTCAAAACATTATTAAAAATGATAGTAGGTTATAATCCATATAGTAAATTTAATATAAATCTAAGAATTGAGAATCAAATCAAATCAAATCAAATCATTAGAATTCTTAATAGTAGATTTCTGTTTAAATATAATAGGGTTGTATTTAGAGTATGATGAAACTTTATTTCCTTAGGTACAAGAAATAAGTAATTGAAATCATGTATTTTAACTAATGCAATCACATTAGAAAAATAGTGACAATCAAACTTGAGGCCTTGGATAATTGAAATAGGATTAATAAAGCTAATCATTGAAACTATTTTTCTTTTGTCTTAATATTATTTAAAAAAAGTTTTTTTTTTTCTCTTTGGAAAAGATTGAGACACAATACTTTAATGAATAATCTATTAGATATTAAAGAATTTTATTGAAAAAGTTTACAAATTTGAAACTGGAAGGTATAGAAAAGTATAGTTTGTTAAAAAATTTTTTTGAAAACAATAGTGCTTAATAAGATCAATTAGGAAATATTGTTGTTTATTCTGATAACAACCCTTACAATAGAATATAGTTCTTGATACTATTCAAACTGTTGTACTTTTAAGTTAGTTAAATTTTAAATGCATCAAGTGTCAAAAAGAAAACTGATGTATATTTATTTTGATTTGAATAAAAGTGTAAATCACCTGTTCAAAAAAAAAAAACAAACTTTTAATAAGCTTCTTGTTTTTAAATTTATCAATAAGAAGTATAATTATTTACAAAATTATAAATCAAATAAAAATCAAATCAAGTAAATCAGTCCATTAATCAATCAAAAAAAAATTTTTTTTATTACATAAAAAAATTAAATTCTATTGTTACATTTTAAATGATTTGAAATTATCTTTATTTATTTATTAAAAAAAAAAGAAAAAGAAATGTGCAATCGATTTCTAAAATTAATTCACATTTAAATAAATTCCAAGTTTTTTTTTTTAAAAAAAAAATTTATATTTCGAAAAAACTTTGATTCGTCGGATAAGTATCTTTTTGTTTAATAAAATCAGGTTAATCGGTGTATTGCTTGCTTGTACTGTATATATATGATTATTGCTTTCGCGCCAATTACTAATTAATAAAACCATCGTGATCTTGGATTTTGTCATGCGAGTTAAAAAAAAAATATTTTTTTGAAAAAAGATGTGATTTGTTAATTAATTTTTATTTATCAATAATCCCATGTTTTTAAATTAAATAGGATCAATACATTATTATTAATCAAGTACGATAATGTTAATTGTATATACAATATGTGAATTTCAAATTCGACGATGAAATCAATTTTTTATTCTTATCGATGGCATTTAGATTTTGTACGATTATTGTGTGGTATATGCGTGGGTGTATTTTAGTTTGTTTCTGATGAGCGATGTAAGGTTTGGTTAGACTCAAGAATATTTTTATCACACCAAATTGGCTAGGAAACCCTCGATTACGTTATTTCACGACCAAATATATGTTTTCTTAATTGCGAAATTAACCAAATTCTCTTTGGCGCAGCCCAAAGATAATCTCGTGGGAGTTTATGGTGCGGTTATTTAATGGGGATTTTCGATGGTACCGAAGTATTCTTGAAAGGAAAAAAACATAATTTTCCCATCCACAAGCCGACAAAGCTTCCTTTTATGGGTAGATGTGAGTAAACGGCTACATGGAATTTATTTGAAATGGGCAAAATGTTCCTATCAAAGACGTGCTTGTGCGGACCGCTTTGTTGGTTGATGTTCATTTGTGGGATGATACTTGCACGCATAGATACTTATTTTCATTCTACAAGGAAACTCATCACAGCCATATTACAAGATACGCACAAGTTATTATTAATAAAAAAATAAATACTTATCATCCACATATGGTAGTATCATCGTACGGGGGGAAAAAAAGTGTGCCGATTTTCGGTTTCGTGTGACCTCCCCCGCCATAACGAAACCTTAGATAAGATTATGCACAAAATTTTGATAATTTTGCAGATTTATTTGTATTATACGTAACTTATGCAAGTATCACCTAATGAGAGCATCTTTTATGGTCCGGTTTCTTTCTTAAAATACCATAAATGGTTATCTCAACAATATTTAATTTACGTATTGCGTGATCAAATCCTTACGTATTACCCATGTCTCTTTTTTTATAACATTGTGACTCATTTTATTTTACATTACGCAGTCGACTTTAAGTATAAATACGTCCGAATTAAAACGGTTTTTTTTTAAAAGAAAAAAAAAAAAAAAGATTTATTGTTCTTACCATACGAAGTGGAAAAACGCTTTTTTCATCCCGATTTCTTTCAACATTACAATAAAAATATAAAAATAAAAAAATGCTCGCATCACCCATTTTGAACGCATCACCTCGTGTGGTTTCACGGTCGCCCATAAGGGCCTCGCCTTTCCCATCTCAAAAAGAAGCTGGCAAGGTACTTGCCAGAATGTTGAACTATTATTCCCAGAAAGATGACACCAGTACGTATTAAATGTATTCCAAAGATTCATATTTTTGTAGTATTAATCAAGTAACACTATCTGTCGACCTCAATCAACACAGTCGTCCTCTCCATAAAGCCCGCAGCAACACCATTAGCATACGAGGTGGCCAAAGAACTGAAATTACCATTAGATCTGTTTCTCGTAAGAACTCTGAAAATTGATAGTATGACTGTTGGTGCCGTTACGGACAGAACGGAGAAACCGTTGTACAAAGATCAAATCATCAAGTAAGATAATCATACTAGTCGATCATACTATTGTTATATTCCTTATCAAATAACATCTCTGCCCGATGATGATAGGGGCTACGGTTTCACCCAGAAACAACTCGACGATGTAATCAAACAAGAGGTATATAGTGTTAAATTTGTTTACTGCGTCTTTATCATGCCATCTCATGGTTTTACAACTTTCCATCATCAAATAAAGCGCGCCAATCTCGAAAATCAGAAATCCCAATGTTGTCCACCAAATTATCCGTTACCAAGATCTGAGAATGCCACCGTATTACTTGCCACCGATGGTATTCAGACTGGTCAAAATGCCCGAGCGGCCATTACACTGTTGAAAAGCATTGGTTTTAAAGGAAGGATTGTGTTAATTGCTGGGGTCATTGGATCCGATTCTCAGGTAACTTTTGAGAATTTCTTTCTTTCTATAATTGAAAATAGCAATTTGTTTTAACGCCATATTTATTTAGAAAATCTTCACGAGAGACGTTGACGAGGTGGTAGCTATAAGAAGTCCAAAGGTTGTTGGTTCAGTCGGTATGTATTTTATCCTTATTTCAGTTTGTTTTTTTTTTTTTGCCTTCAAATTTTAACGATCTCTATATCAAATCGTAGCATCGTGGTACGAAAATCAGGTAGAACCGACCAATGAACAAATAAAGTTACTCCTACAAAAAGTCGACGATGAATTCAATGAAAAGTCAGAGGAATTAATGCGGTGAAAGAATCGGTCCAGTCAAATTCATAATCTATCTTTCCTTCCGAGGATTACTACACTTCCCTATGGAAACTTTTTTTTTTTTTTTTTTTTGTAAATAAAATTCGTTCATCAGTCATGTAATATTTTGCCAAAAAGGAATTTTTTTATACGTTTCTTATATAATTACAAGCGAAAATTTTGGGCAGTTTTAAATTTTAATTATCATAAAAATCATAATACATTCTTGACGATACATTACATGTTCTGTATAACTTAATTAACCAAATAAAATAATTATCAAGGACTTATTCGGAATACGAAGGCTTCCCTTCTAATGGAATTAATGTACGATGTAAACATTTTTTTTTACGATTCTCCTTAGTTAGACGGATTAACAACATTTGCTCAACAGCTTATTTAAAAAATTCGCTAGTCGATAGCCACCTATGGCCAATTGTTTGTCGATGATTGGAATGGATTGATTATAATACAGGCCACCTATTTTCCAGAGATGAACGTGAGAAAGAAAAGAAATCAACAAAAATATAGAATGGAACAAACGTAATATTTACCTAGATCTTCATGTGGATTGGAATCAGGAATTTCCCATACCTAAAAATCAATTGTTTAGTTATAGCATTTTAAAAAAGTTTCAAGTCTCTGTAACCTACAAGTGGACAATTAATGGAATTGGATTCCTTTGCCCAAAGGAATGGGCATTCTGTGGTAGCCAACGATCGTTTAATTTTTTGGCCAAATAAGGTCGAGTCCGGTACATTATCACAAGCGACCCAGTCACTCAATTGCTGCGTATATGTTCCATTGGAAATTTGCGTGATTAGATAATTGGAATATTTGGTATCGTTATTGGAGAAGTCAAGTAATCGCTTCTTGACCTTGATTTTTTTAGTGAAAGAGTTAATAATTGTTGCAAATGAAGCGACTTTCCAAACTTGATATTACCATTACGGTATCCCAAAGCAAATGTAAACTAGCTCGCATAAATGTAAACACAAAACGTTTGTTAAAAAGTATATACAGTATATACAGTGTATATATATTTAATGGTACTGGTTAAAAATTGTGTACACTACTACTCACTTATAAGCCTTGCCATCGAAGGTAACATTCAATTGATTTCCTCCGAGTTGTCGAGCGCAAACATGTAATGCTATTTGTCATAATGGTTAGTCTCATTTTTGATGTTGTGTGAAAAAAAAATTCGGGATCAGAACCTACGTTGCGTAATATCACCAAAGAAATGAGCTAAAAATCTCAATGCGATATCCCTGGTCGCTGGGTCATAATTGTTTTCACAATCCAATTGTTCTGTGTAATTTGCTATTGCTATAAAGCACGCAGTTGTTTTATTAAAAAAAAATTTTTTTTATGTACTGATAAAGTCACATGACTTACCAGTAACGATGCACATTCCATCCAAACAATCCAATGCCTTGTTATAAAGTAAAGATAAGTTATCTTTGATTTACACATGCACGCATGCACGTACGTACCTCGTCCACAAAGCAACTTCTTCCCGGATCGTCGTGAGTATTGATGAAATGCAAGGGACTACTCCAGTATGCGAACCCAGAACTCGCATTCGATTTCACTTCGTCGGCCCAAACCGAGGCGTTTATCAACTTTCCACCGAATGATGGGTCTTTCAGTAATTCCGATACTTGCTTAGCGGCCGAGGGTATGAGCAGCGATTGAGCAATTTGTCCGACGATTTTGTGCCCATCATCACCCCAAGCGTTTGCCTGGGATAAGAACAAGATGAGGTTTACTATCACTACGAATAAAATTCGACTTAAGCTATTTTTGTCAGAGAAATTCATTACAGGCATGAATATGAAATAGATGAGCATGAGAGTAAACGAATCCTGTCTTTTATAGTTTGGTGACTCCCGTTTTTCATTGTACAAACTCCATGTAACGGTAAGTTATGTATCCGGGAAAGTCTCTGCTAATCGATCTTAGTTCTTGGTAATTCCCAATGGGGCTATTTGTGAGAATTCTATTCAAGTGTTCACTCGGTTCTGCCTAGAAACAATCAACATGTTAGCTGTGTGTGATCTGGAAATAAAATTCCTGTTCTGTCCCATAAATGGTCAAAGCCGTCAACGTGCGAATTCTTTTGGTCGGATTTTGCCCTTGGTGGCACTGAAGATCCCCAAGCCAAGGGTTTTTTGGAAATCTTTCGAACAAAAATAATAAAAATACAACGCACACACTTTGTTATCCATAATTTTTATAAATAATAAGATTATAAGCATATATAATTGCATTTTTAATATACATTAACTTTATAAATAATATTCTTTAAAAAAAAAGGAATGCACTAAAGCTAAATAGTCAGGTGTTAATATTATAAGATATGGTGAATAGACAAGAGTTTAGGTAGAAATAAATAATTAATATGTAATTTTTTGCCTGAATTCAAATTGCAATTGTTTATTGAATATAAAGATAAATTAGCTAAACAATTTATTTAAAAAGCTAAAGTTTTTGACTTTTGAATAAACTAAAAAATAATGTTTTTATAATATCATCAACTAACAAATTTTGAATATGAAAAAATCATTAGTTTGTTTAGAAATAATTCTTTTATAACAAGAATTATTAAAATTTTAAATTATTTTTTTTTTTTAATTACAATTATAAGTATAATTAATTTATATAAAATTTAAAAAAATCACAATTATTGTTTATTTAGATTAATCAAAAATCTTCAATATTTATATAATCAAATGTGAACTTAATTTTTTTATAATATTTTTTTTTAAAGATTTATAAGTCTATGTTTTTTTTTTCTTGTTTTTTTTATTCTTGACTTTTTCTTTTTTAACCTTTTTTGTATTTTAAAAAAAATTATATTTGTTTGTTTTTTTTATATTTGGAATTTTTTTTCAATTTTATTAGTATTAATTTTATTTAAATTATTTGAAAAAAATCTTTTGCTCTGTCTTTTGCAATTTTAATTTTTCAATCTGTTATTTAGAATTTTGTGTTTATTTATAAAAATTGATATTATATATTAAATCAGAATAATATAAATCTTTTTTTAGTATTGAAAAAAATTTGTATAATTTTTTAAGATAATATTGTTTTTGTATTTTTGTTAATTAGTTAATTTGTAAATATAATTTTGTATTTTCCTAAAAATAATATTGTTTTAAAATATAATTTTATATTGAACTTGTTTTTAATAAATAATAAATCTTTTTTTCAATCAAAGTAGTTTAACTATCAAAAGTTAAATATTATAATTTTTATATTATTTATAACTTTTAATACTTAAGTCAAAAAAAATTTTAAATATTTAAATAATAACAAATTTTATTAGTTGAAATATTATTAGGTTTTTAATTTTAAATTTAAACTTGTTTAAAATAAATTAATGTAAATATATTAATAAAACCTATATTACTTAATTTGTTTATAAAATTAAAAATCTAATATATTTAATATTATAAATTTTTTTATAATAAATAATTAAGTTTGAAATTGTTAAAACCAAATCTGTTATACATTTAAAACTTTTTTTTTAACTAAACTATTAAGTTGTTATATATATATTCTGGTTTAAAAAACAATATTGTATTTGATATTTTATATAAGAAATTAGAATTCTATTTAAAATATATTCTATAGTATATACTTATATAACCTGTAAATCTATAGTACAATAGTTAATACTTTACAGATCAGATCATAAAATATCAGTTCAATCCCAGGTAAAAGTGATTAAATAAAACTAATAAAATATTTGGTATCATAATTTGTCAAGTGTGATTTCTTATATAAACCAGTTTATATATTCCATAGGCAATAAGATTATAATTATCAAGAAAGAGATTATGACATAATGATTATCCAGTTGGAAATATAATGATCACTGGAAGCAGCAAGAAGTGCAAAGATACTAATTTCAATAAGGAAAAAAAGAATTGATAATTATTTTCTCATGAGTATTAAAATGTCTCTTTTATGAAAAGCTCTATTTCAATCCAGTAATACATTATTTTGCAAGTTACTTTTCTGAAAAGGTAGCATATAATAACAAAAAGTTCTTGACCATTCTTGGATAACTCAAGAAAATGAAAATTATAGTTAGAAATGAAAATAATATTAAAAATATAACATAAAAATTTAGATATATCATATATGTAATAAATTATCTATATTAATAAAATTAAAGTATTGTCTTGCAATTTAAAAAAATATATATTCTATATACTTATTTGTAATTTTTTTTTAAAACTTAATACAATTGCTATAACTTCTTATTTAATTTAATATATTGGATTTTTTATATATTCTTGCTTATTATTTATATTTCAAAAAATTTAAAAACCATATTTTAATTAATTTTCTTTGTTATGACTATTAATTATAAATAATACTAAATAGTTACTATTAGTTTTGAATTTATTAACTATATAAAACTATTTAATCTTTTTTAAAATATTTTTTATATTTTCTTTAGATTTAATAATCTATCTATATACAGTATATTATTATAACTTAATAGACAAAATATTATTATAAAGTTTGTTTTTATTAAAATTGATTTTTTATTTATAATTTATAAAATAATATAGCTTTGTATTATCTTGAATTTCATATAATAAGATATTATAAAAGATTTATTATAAAAAAAAATTTTGTTTTCTCTTGATTTATTCTATCATTAAATATTATTTTTTGTTATTTTTATATTAATAATTATTTAAACTAATTTATTAATAAAGAAATTTAGAATAAGTATTAAAAAACATATTGAAATTTTAATTCTATAAAGTATTTTTTACAATATATTTAAGTTAATTATATCTTGAAATAAAATTTATAATTTCTTTTTTTTTAAAGCCTCTTTATAAATAAATACTATTTATTAAATAAATAAGTTCTGATATACTTTTTTTAAACAATCTTGTAAATTTAAGTTTTTTTAAAATGTTATATATTTTGTATATGATAAACAATTAATTAATAATAACTTTTATAAAGTATTTTTATGAAACATTTAAAAAAACTATAGGTTTAGTATTGCTTAGAATGCCTTGTTATTTTTTTTTTCTTTAAAATTAAATAAAATAGGTTTTTTTTTTATATTAAAAGAATTAGATTATAAATTAAATATTTATATTTATAAATAAATATAATATTTTTTTCTTAATTATTTTCAAGTTTTTGAGTATTTTATATTTGATTTTGTTAGATCCAACTGCTTTGTTATTTAAAAATTTCAAGTTTATTTTTAAAATAATATTTTTATATTATTATAATATATTTTTTTTATTTCAACTTTAAATATATATATATATTTTAATTTCTTATTTAACAAATCAAAAGTGTTGTTTTGTTTCTTGAAAATATTTTTATAATACTTTTTGATTTGATATAAAATTTCATTTTTGTTTACTAATATATATTTTCTTTTCAATTCATTTTAAATATAAATTCTATTTATAATTATTTTATTTCAAAAGTTTATCAAACTTTATATTACTTTTTAAAGATTCTTGCATTTTTTTAAATTGTTTGCTTAATTTTTATATTAATTCAACTTCTTTTTTTATTGAAATATATATTTTTTAAAAAATTAATTATTTTTTTGAGCTGAAAAATTAATGTTTTTTTTTTTTCTAATATTTTTATAAGCTTTTGAGTAAATTAAAAAGTTAAAGTTATTAGAATTATATTTTGATTAATTTTTTTTGTATTTCTTATACTTTTTGATTTTATAATAATTTTTTTAAAATTCTTTTAAATTGAATCAATTGTTAAGAATCTTAATAATTAAGTAATAACTATAGAAAATAAGTTATTTCTATACCTTTTTTTTAAAATCTATAAATTGATTTTTCTTTTATTATTTTCTTTTTAGAATATAAATAATTAAAAATTGAAATTATTATAATTTTTTCAAATAGTTTTTATAAGTCTTGAATTAATTGCTTGTATCTATTATTATTAGTTTGATTTGAATTTATTATTTAAATTTGAAACAAAATATTATTATTATTTTTTTGAAGAAGTTTTTCCAATAGATAAATATTATTTTTTTATTTGATATTATATATAACAAGATATACATTATGAAAGAAACAATATTCCTTTTATTATTTCAGAAAAGTTAAATGTTAGCTTGCCTACTTATTAATATCTAACTAATATTATAAAAAAATTCAAAATTAATATTAATATACTAAATAAGG